TAACAATAAAATAATCATAAATCCATAATAAGGATAAATAAATATACACAATACAAACAGTTATATTTGCTTAATTGAATTTTATACCTTAGTAAGATTTTCTTATGAAGATTATCATATTTGTGATTTTTTCGGTGTCTAATTCTAATGCTTTGTTCTTGTTGGTTAGGATATTATATTTTTTGAAGTCATTGTTTTATTGATAGTACTCTGTTATTAATGTCTTAGAGACAATATTAATTCAGAGATTGTACACTGAGAAAATTTCTTTTTGGAATCAGGAACTTGTAAATTAACCTTGTACGATGTTATGTATTATTATTATGTATGAACTTCACTTTATTAACTTGTTATGTTAATAATAAAAATATTGTAAATATTGGACAATACTCTTATATCCATTGCAATTTTTTGTTTTCTATTAATTTAATATGTTTAAAATTCTTTACAATTTAATTAAACGGTGAATAATAAAAATTCACAATAGGTATTACTGTTGTATCCTTAACGGATATTGGTTTTTTTTACAATCATCTAAAAACTCACAGTTTTTGGTATCTCACCTTGTGCAAAATATATAGTGGTCAACGAAGTTTCTCAAGTTTGACTTACCAGTATGAAAGGAAATTACTCTTCGCAGTGCATAGTCATAATTAGTTCATTGATTAAAATTAATGGAAATTCACATAACAGCAACATGCAATTTTCAGTATCTCTACTATAGAATCAAATTAAAATTTTTATCTCCTCTAAAAATTAAGAATTATTTTAATTTTGAAAAAAATACCGATAACGTTACAGTAATTTGATTCCCCCATGCATCACTCCTTACGGCAGAAAAATATAAAATATAAAAATAAAATACGCGATATTGCGATAAGAACAGGTGATGGTCTTGCTTTTAATAAATATTTATGTATATTAATATCACAATATGTGAATCTTTATATTGTATTGTCTTGCCAATCTCGAATATTGTAACACAACCACCGTATTTTTAATATTTTATTATTTTTTATAATTTTTACTTTATTTTTATTTTGTTGGCCCAACAATACATAAGATTTTAGATTGAGAGTATACATTTTCATAGCTCAAAATTGCATAGGATTGCCTATTAATTAGCCTAAATTTGGTTCTAGTGTGAAATTATATTTCCCTAAAACCGTTTCATTTGATTTTCCTTCGTCCATAACGTTTTTATTCGGTTTCTGAATAGGATTTTCTTCGCTAATAACTTCTTCATTATTTTCTATTTCATGTATATCCTGAATATTATGATTAAATTATTTTTAGTCATTGTAAATTTACTAAGCGCGATTTGTTAGTTTCATCTTATTTTTAGCGTAGATCTTTCTATGGCTCTTTTTAATTTTTGTTATGTGAGACGTTATTACAAATAAATAATTAACTATTCTTACACAATTATTATACTAAACAATGATACGTATTAACTTGCATTATATCTTATACACGTTGAGTATTGTATCGTAAAAAACTATAACAATAAATTTACTGATTAACTATAGACATAAATTTTATGTACAAAAACCCTTAAGAAATGTGTACGCTGAAAAATTGACATGATTACTGAGTAATTATATGTAATTATTAGTATGCGATTATTCTAGTTGTAAATATTAGTATGTTCAAATTATAATCATACAGATATTGTTATTATATTTATATGAATAATGGGTCTACCTTTACTGTGTTAACAGCAATGCTTGTATTTGGTTCTTGGTACGCCGGAAATAAGTTTTTCTCCGTCTTCGTATTTTGTAATTGATCTTCTTCTTTGTCTGATATACTCTGCACGCTCGCTTGTGCGACTATATTTTCCTCATTACTTATTTCAATGATTTTAGTCGATTTTAGTTCTTCAAATGTATGCCTTTGCTCCTCCATTTGTAAGAACTTCTTATGGCATTTTGGATGGTAATATGTATTAATGCGGTCTCTACACTTATCAACGGCCTTGAAGATGTTAACCTTTTTACAATACATACAAGCTTTTAAACGAAAAGAAAGTTTGGTTATTGGTTTTACGAAAACATGACCTATAAATGTTGCATCTGATTCTACTTTGTGTATAATCTCTTCATCAAGTATGATTTCACAGTTGTTTACATCTTGTCCTTGGGTGGGATTTTCTTGGCTCAGATTTTCTCTACTCGACTGTATTTGAGTGACTGTTTCATTTTCTGACTTAATTTTTTTAGATTTGCATAAAAAATTTCTTATGGCATCTGCGATGACATTGTTCATCGCAGTCTTTGCATCTATAAAATTGCTCAAAGGCAATTAAATTTTCACAATATATGCATATTACTCTTTCAAAATGATAAGGATTTAAGATAATTGGTTTTTCAAAACTGTGGCTGATCTCCATATTTTTATTATTCTGAAAATATAATAAAAAATAAACTTTTGCTAATTCAATCAATTAGTAGGTAAGTACTATCAAAAACTGTTTTATTTTACAAATATAACTTAATGTTTTAAAACAACACGCGTTGCTAAGAGTTTCCCGCAAATAACATAATTAATTGTTTTGAACATCCTAATAATATTTTATTTGTTAAATTAGGTTCAGTTGAGATTAATTTTAAACTATAACATTTTGATTCATTTTTACGTTTAACCGCTTGTTATAAAGGTGGTTGATTACTTTTTCATACATACATTTTAAGTACCTTTATGTGATTTTCGAATGGAAATTTTGTATGAACATAATTCCAATCAAGAAACTAGGTTTAATATAAATTTACTTAACAACGTAAAAATAACATAATGAAATTTGTATTTATTCAATTTATTTTTTTTGGTTCAAATGAGATTTATGCAAGGTATATTTTACATTTAAATGATCCTAATCCCACTAAAGCCGAACGTTTATTTAACTATGAATATCAGTATTACAATAATCATGATATGCTAAATAAAAGTTTGTGTGTGATGTGGTTAGTTATATTGCATTTTTTTTAAACAATTTTTTTTTTTTTAATTTTAACTTTTTGAATAAATAATAGCTTATCATAGTCCACGAGTAATAATAGTTTAATTGATTTTTATTTCAGCATACAATGAAAATTAAAATTTGTTACTGTGTAATAGAATACCATGTCCAGGTGGTATATAATCAAATAATAATATCTCGGATAATTTAAAAAACTTTAGCTAACAATAAATCGTGGACTTTCATATATAAATTAAAACATTCACGTAGTATTTCACATCTGAAATGATTTTCTATACAGTTTTTTTTTCCCAGTAAATACATTTAATGTTATTTACTCCAATTGTCTGTATATTTTTATTGGTATGTATACACTTTTACAAGTAAAAAGTTAAATTTATTAATATGATTAAATGTTTAGCGTTTAGCCATTTCACAGTCTTAACTCTTAAATAATCAAGTTTAAATATAATATTAATAACTGACTTGAAGCAATAAATCTACATACATGTATAAATCTAATGATAAGTTTGTTGTTCACACATTTAAAAAAAGACATATCTCCAGACATTGTTTTCCTATTGATTTCTTTATGTTTACATTTAAATTATATTTTTTACGTAAATCAAGCAATAATTTTCATCATTCTTCATTTTCTATACAAAGTAAAATGTTCAAAATATTATAAAGTTTTTAAAATTATTATCATGGATATATTATTATAATATTTATTTATCCAATAAAATAAAATAAATGCATTTTTTTTTTTTATTTATTATTATTACATATACAATCTATACCTAAGGGTACAATAAGAGTATTTGCTAAGTTTAAATGTATTTAAAAGCATAAACACTGCTTCTACAAATACTAACGCAGTCTCCATAACGATTGGGAAAAAATAAATTAGTATAATAATGAATGCGTTAAAGAAAGTCTTAGTAAATTTATTTATTAGTTAATAATGTATTGTAGTAGTCGTTCGTGTACGCCGGGAACGGGTGCGACGTAGGGAGTATCAAAACTAAAAAAACTAAAATAGTCTTAACTGCAGCAATTGTAACGTTCGATTCGACTAATTTTAACAAAATATCATCGTGTACATTAATACTCGCCATATTACTCTGATGTCGTGACGTTCGAACAATCTTAACGATATACTGCTTGTTAAAGTAAACCATAAAAACGATTTTTCTCGATCTAAATTTTTAAATTTTTTTACCGAAATAAGCGAATAAAAAGTATAAAAATAAAAACATTAAAGTACAGTATATTATTTATTTAATATATGCGCAGACCAAAGGTAAAAGTATAATAACGACAACAATAATAATGCGACGTCGTCGTCGTCGGACGTTATAATTATGTTGTCGAAGGGCATGAGAAAAAAGAGCGGAGGAGGAAAAATGACAGAAAAAAAAACCTTACACACACACATATATATAGCTGTTAGTCGGATTGGCTTTTGCACGGTCCACGTGACGACGAAGAAGTCGAACAGTCCGAGACGCTCGCGAGGCTTCCTCGACGGTGGTGGTGGCGGCGGGGCGGGAGGTAATTGAAACGTTACGAGCTCACTCCGTCGCTCCGTCGGCGGCGGGTGCACACCGTCATCAACAGGCTACGGCCGCCGCCGCTAAGCATGCGTCGGCGGGACGCCACACGCCGCCGCGGCGACGGCGTAACCACCCCGTACCGCCACCGCGGCGGCCGTCCCCCGACTGCAGCCGTTTTCTTTTTCTTCCGACATTCTTTGCGCCCCCGTTTTCTTTTCTCCCGCCTCTTCTTCTTCTCGTTATTCTTCTCACCACCACCACCACCACCACCTCCCCTCCGCGGCCGCCCACTCTTTTCTCGTATACGCGTATAAGTATATCGTATTATATGTAGACACCACCGCCGCCACCGCCGCCCACCGTCACCGCTGTCGCGTATCGTTTTCCTTCTTCCGTTTCTTATTGCCTCGCCACCGCCACCGCCGTCACAGCCGCCACCGACTCGGGCCAGCGCGGTCTTCCGCAGAGCAGCACAGACACACGCACGCACGCAACAAACTCCGCCCACGGCGGGGCGCGAACACCTTCCGCCGCCGGCCCCGTCCTCCTTCGCGGCCAACGGCGGTAAACCAAAGCTCCACGGCGGCCGCAACCTCCGACCGACGAACCGGCCGCGAAAAAAAAACGCTTTTTTAACAGTCAGTCGCGCCGGTCCGCCCGTCCCCGACGACACGCACACCGCAGCAGCGGCCGCCGCAACACCGTCGTCGTCATCGTCGCCGTCGTCGTTGTCGTCGCCGCCGCAGCCTTCGACTTCCTATTCTTCGTCTTCGTCGCGGCCGCTCGCGGTTTGACTCTTCGTCTTTTCTCCTCTTTTATACTCTTAATATTTTGTATTACGTTCGTCTCGCGCATCGAACAACATGCACCTGTCGGAACCCATGAGGAACCGCGACGGTTTCCTCAAGGCCGACGTGCTGGCCGAACGGACGTTGGACAGTCTGCTAGCCGAACATCCCGGCGAGCTGGTCCGCACCGGTTGCCCGCACGTCGTGTGCACGGTGCTGCCCACGCACTGGCGGTCCAACAAGACGCTTCCGGTGGCGTTCAAGGTGGTGGCGCTGGGCGAGGTGCCGGACGGCACGCCGGTCACCATACGTGCCGGCAACGATGAGAACTTTTGCGCGGAGCTGCGCAATTGCACCGCCCTCATGAAGAACCAGGTGGCCAAGTTCAACGATTTGCGATTCGTCGGTCGATCCGGGCGAGGTGAGCGATGCGACAGTAATGTCGCGTGACACTATCTCATTATTTTTTTTCGTTTAGAGCGGCTTAGGTTCAATAGGCGACTTCGCGCACTACGCCGCGAGGGCGCAATCCGCGGTTTTTGAAAAAAAAAAAAAAAAAAAAAAACAAATAAATTAATACGAATTTGGCGCTTTGATTAACGCAGCTAAACACTGTGGTCAGTAATAAACATAATTATTATATCACTACTTTTGCGCTCGTGTACTACACCAGAAAGTAGATTGCCCAATCCACAATAATTGTCCGGTTCGTTGGTTAAACCGGTTCCGATTACGATTGGGTACGTCAGTCCGTATATTGATTTGACGATAGCATAAAAATATCACCGCGGCTTTCCTCTATCTTATACTCGTATTTTAGAATATGACGACGTTAGCCGTCCGTCGTTGTTTTTGTAAACGGTTTTTGGTTTTATATTTTTTTCGCATTTATGACGGGGTTGGTTTTTGGATTACGACGGTAACCGTGGTGTGACGACGACTTACGGCGAGAATTTCGAGTTTTTGACGAAGAAAACTCGTAAACCGCGTCGTAATAACCGCCCGGCGTGAGCCGGCGTCTCGTATAGGCAATTCGGAAACTTGTGTGTGTGTGTGTGTGTGTGTGTGTGTACCAGATACCCGTTCGATCGAGTCGCTTTATTACAGTCCGTTTGGGGCCGACAGTGCGTATTAACTATATCAAATGACATCTCGTCGAGAGAATTGAACGCGACACGAAACACCGTAGTAACACATATATATGTATTATACGATATACACGCCTATACGTCATATACATACAGTACAACGGGCGTCGCGAATCAAACGGTAATAAATACGCGATGCCGACTTAAACGTTTCGGCGTTTTAATATAACGTCGCGGGACGGCGAGGGTATGGCACTGTACGCGTATCGGGGGGAAGAGAGAAAAATACGTATATAAAAGGTCGTAGACGAGGTTCGGCATTTCGTCATGCTTCATTCCCCGAGGATTTTTTTTTTTTAACCCCGCGAGCAATGATGACAAATTGGCCTACGCACCGTCGTGTAAATCGTAACAACGGTGCCTTGCCGCTGCCACCCTCAATCCAGTTTTTGGGGCATTCGACGTTATCCCTTTTTTCCTTTACCCCCGTCGGCAGCTCATATACACGTTTTAAAGCGAACCGGAGGGTTGTGAGAACACGGTTTTTTTTTTTTTAAATCTGGCGTGCGCCTAAATTTATCGCTTTCCAAAAACTGGGGCTTACCGTGGCAATAATGTCGTTATTATGTACCACTATTATTAAATAAAAATACGCACGTAGTGCGATATTACAATATTATTACCGGTGAATAATTAACATCCCGTTAATATATTGTCTGACGAAACGAGATCGTTGCCTTATTATTTTTACAACATTGTACATAAATTATAATATTAACACACGTCGACAAACTCGCGGCATTAATCGCCTTTCGTTAAAAACTTCTTAACCCTTGTTTCCGTTTTAATCATTTCGGCGCGAAGTAGTTGTTTGTAGACCGCTGCAATAATGAGACCGATGGTGGTGGTGGTGACTGCTTCCGCGGCAGTATTCCGCGTTCGTTACCTCCCCAATAATTGATCCTTGTCGGTTAATTTCCCGAGAAAAGTTAAAGTCAGTTTATGGTTGTTTACACGCAATTATCACACGTTTTCCACCAAAAACCGTGAAGCTGCACACATTCTATTATGTTTAATGGTTATCTCCCGGACGTGTTGCCGTTTGTCTTAATACGTATTTATACGTAACAGTAATAACGCGTTTGTCTTTCCCCTTCGACAATAATAATTTAACACTCCAACTGGAATGTTTTTAACAATTAATAGTTATTGCCGTGCCATGCTATTTATAATATGTTTTCGGAACATTTACACTGCCTTTTATTTATCAATAGTAGGTATATAATATTGTTGTAACTTGTTATTACATTATTATTTATTTAGTTAATTAAAATAAAATTTCATATTTAAACTAAATAATATTTATATATGAACATCTTTATTTATTTATAAACAGTAATACAATAAAATGCCATTATATTCAACAAAATAATTACAAAACTCATGAAAATTAATTATCATAACAAACTAATGTAACACATTTTAAATAAACTAGTAAAAATATAAATGAGTAAATAAAAAAAGAAAAAAAAATCTAACAAAATGAATGGATTTGCTCATTAATAACACTAACAATCACTCTTTGGATGAGATAGTTCCAACCGTAATAAGTAATATGAACTGGTAGGTATATTAAAAACAACAAGGGGACGCGTGTGAAACAAGAAGGGACTTTAAAATTTAATTAGAAGAGCAGAGAAGGAGCATTAATATACGTTCATCCATCAGCCTTCGTAAAAAACACAAGTTTGCCTTTAATCTTTTATAAATTATAAGGAGAAGCGACTGAAATGTATGTATATAATTGGTTAGTGGTCATGCTAATGATAATAATTGGTTTGTATTCAAAATCGTCTTTGGACACGCTAGAATCAAATACAATATTATAATTAATTAAAAATAAAACACAAGTTTTTAGAGATTTAAATACAATATTGAGTATTTTTATTATATATTTAGGTATATTTTCTTGTTGTTATGGATGAATTTTAAGTGCGGACTAATTGTTCGAGATATTCAATAATTGATTGTAAATAGATACCTGAAACAGAAAATTTATTTTATTATTATTATTTTGCTTTTTAACGCTCTTTTTTATTGACACAATTATCAGACCTAATTACTTAAATATATTGCCGAAATGCATACTTCAATGTTTCTTCATCTTAATCATAATAACATTGTACCAATTAAAAAGGTTCTGATAGCAGATTGCAATGTTATATTTATTTATTTCATCAATATGAGATTCATTTTGTATAATATGTATTTATTAGTGATTTATCTTAAATTTAATTTTTGTATGTACTTAATGTTTTGAAATGCTACAAATGATATTTAGGTGTTCAAAAAGTTTATTCGATTTTGTTAAATATTTATGTCTATGTAGTAAAAATTGTTATAAAATCTGTTTTGGTTATAATCCATATTTTATAACTTGTAAATATATTTTATTACTAGGTATTAAAAATTGTATAAATGTATGTTTTACTGTAAAACAGACCAATTTAATTTTAATTGTCGTTAGCAATTTTCTAATTTACTCCAATACTTTAGGATCTTGAGTTATTTTACTAATAACGAGCAGGACTATTTTTAGATGAAGTAATTGTGGGAAGGTTCTAGAGTTTATAATTTATTTTTAAATGTTCATTGTTTTGAACCTCTTATAACTCCATTTTCTATAATTAATATCATACATTTATAAATTGTATAATTAATAATGTTATATCATATTATGATATATTGTATAATAACAGTTATAACTTAAACACCTTAGCCGTTTTTAAGTCAAAAGTGATATAACCTGTATCAAAAAATTATTAAGAAAGTGTAATTAACAATTTTCCTAGTTACAAACCAAGAAAAAATTTTTATTTTTTTATTTACGTTTCTGCAGTTGATTTTATAAAAATATTTTTTATTTGTTTTTATTAATTAATTTTAAAATAAAATATTTTCTAATTTAAATTAAAATACACGATATTTTGCATAACGATGAATTGTGTACCGAAAATGGTTCGAATTATACAAAAAATACTGATTAATAATAAAGACGGATCAGTGATAAACTTATAACTCATAAGTTATGATTATAATAAATCTCTAAAATATAGTATTTTAATTTAAACAAATAAAACATTCTTAAAATACGGCACAATAAATTATTTTGTTAAATGTTTAAATGTTTATTATGTACTTCTTAAATAGTGTATATTATGTATGATTTCTTCAAAAACACAAGCTTGAAATTTAAAACCATTCAGCATTCGCTTTAATATATTTTCATAAAAAAATAGTTATAAGTGTTATAACATAAGTAAATGGTTACTGTGACACACTATCAATCATGGTTTTTCACACATTTATATTTATAAGAACGGACTTCCAGTCTTACATACTTATGCATAATACAATATATATATTATGTCAACCATGTTCTAATTATTTATTATGTGTTTTTTGATGAAATAATTAAATGTTGTTAGATTTGATAAAATGCTATTTGTCATTTTCCTAGTAAATATACATGGTTTTGAAAACCCCATTACTCCTCCTTTCGAAATAATAAAATTATTCATTCAATAATACAATTAACGGACACCATAATATAGACTACATGATGTAGCATATTACTAATTTCTTGGTTTGCTCGTCTTATGAGTATATATTTCGTATTACCTATTATTTGAAAAAAAATTCTTAGTGGAGCTTAGTTATTTAACACTTAAAGGTTTATATGATATTTATCAGATTTAAGTGCTCCTAAAAGAAATAAGATCTTTCATTAACTATAAAGACGAATTTTCTGTTTTCCTTATACCTACTAAATTCCCCAAAACCAAATTTGTTTATTATATTATGATAATTAAATTAATTTAATTGAGTTCTTGTTTTAATATATATCTGTACCCTGCCCCTGTGCACTAAAATATGAATTCGAGTGGGTAAAAACTAAAAGTCGATTAAATCGGATATAACATGCGTCTCAAGATATAAATCAGTTATGTTATAGATAAACTTGAATACAATACACTGATCATTTAGAGTCCACTAGTTGTTATGACGAAACAAAATACAAAGAACCGAAGTTACCTACATGTCTACATTTTTACTATAAATATTTTTTCTTATTATATCTGTCGGTACTTTTTTTCTCATAATATCTAACCACGTTTAAAGTATTGTTATAAAAACATCAGTAATTTTAGCCATTTTAACGTTCAATAGCTTATCGCAGTAAAAATTCTTAGATTATATATGTAATACAGTTATCATAATCATAATTTATTTTAATATCGTATTATTTTTATTAATAATTGAGCAATAAATATTGTGTAAATAAGTATAATTGTATTAAAATATTAAAACAGCATAAATTATTATATCGTTATACGTATATAATATAATATACTGATTTAGGCATTCGTGCATTTTAATTGTAATACTAAATAATACATTATTGAAACAAAATATTGCCAAACTATTGGTACATAATTTATTGAAAAGGCACTCTAGGAAATAGTATTTAACGAATAAACGTTGTACAAAATATACTTTAAATTTCAGGGTTAAAATACAGTTATTAAGTCCATAAGATCAACATCCTATAATACATATTATAATATATCGTATATTTTTTTCCTATAAAAATATTGTTTTAATATAATGCTAAAAAGTATACCGAATTAGTACATTATTATTATTTTTTTTTTTTTTACTATAAATATTTTTTTTTATTTGCAGGAAAAAGTTTTACGCTGACTATAATGTTGAATTCCTGTCCACCACAAGTAGCAACTTATTCCAAAGCCATCAAAGTCACAGTAGATGGACCCAGAGAGCCGAGGTCAAAAACCAGTGAGTAAATTGATGCACACTTATTCTTGATAAATTATCAAATTAAATTGGGTATTAGGCCTATTATTTAATTCATTTGCAGGAAACCAAGGGTTTCATCCTTTTCACTTTGGACCTAGACCTTTCCCGTTCGGCACACCATTGGATCCCAATAGAATAGCAGAATTGCCGTTAAAATTGTCAGGTAATTATTTTTTAAACTTGTTAAATTACTATGAAATGTTTTTCAAAAAGTTATTATTCTACTGAAATGATTTTATTTATTTATTCTTTTAAATTTAAATAGTCACTTAAACAGATACATTACACAGTATATCTAACGCAATTTTATTTTTTAATGATTAACTCATGTTAATTAACATGAGTTAATCATTAAGAATCAGTAATTAATATTATAATGATAGTCTATTAAGTAGGCACTTATATAATATTATATGTAAAAATTAACCTATAGAAAAAAAAATCATTAATTTATTATTACACTCATTATCAAATCTTATTTTAATTAAAAAATACCTTTAATATATAATATATTTTTAATACTATTTAAAAGATTATATTTTTTTATCTTTGTAACTCGAATATAACATTATAGTAAATTAGTGTGATAGTGTGTTATGTATATGTAAGGTAAGTTATCGGTAATGTCATGATACATGGATTTCTGTTTTTGTAAAAAATTTAAATTTTAATCAATATATTCTTAAAGTAAATTAAGAATTTAATGATAATTTATAATAAAATCTCATTGAAAGAATCAAATTTATGTAAAATCAATATATAGTGTAAAATATAAATACAACTTCTGAAAAAGTATTTCTTTAAAAATTGTACAATCAATAATAACGTGGTAATTTATACCTATGCATATTGCATATGTGTAAGCTATATTATTTTGTTAAACTTTTAATATTCTTATTTATGGCACTATACAATACAATTTAATAACTCAATGACACATTAAGTAGGTATTTTTGAACTAAAGTAGTGATATTTTAATTAATAAACAATAATTTTTAATCACCCTTATTCAAAATTGAGTATCAAATTGTACAAATTGTACAAATTATATTTAAAATACATTCAATTATAGTTTAGTTTAAATTTAGTAAGTATAGTACCTAATTGGACATTTAAATTTGGTTTATCAGTCCATTGATGATTTGATTATTTTTTTAAATGAATTTTTTTTTTTTTTTTAATTACGAGTTTAATTATTGTGAATCAAAAGTTTCTACAATGAAAAACAAATACAGTTTTTTTTTAAATATACGTTAAGTTTAATACGAATAGTTAATTTTAGCATTTCATATATTTTTATTTTTTAACATATAAAATAGTTATTTGAATATAATATTAATTTTTTTCACAAAAAATATATTCAAATAGTTTATAAATAATTACGTATAGGTATTGTATAAGGTTTAAATATTAAATACAATAGTTACCAACATCGTTTTCAGCAGTTGATTTTATAATTATTTCAGTAGTATTTAAATAAACTGTTCTTAAATAAAAGCGTGTAAATGTGTTTTAGTAATTCATCGTAATCTTTCCAAATAACATACAATTATAAACCAATTAAAACAGTAACGACTTATTTCAAATTAAAATCTTGACAAATAATATTAAAAATTGCTTTAGTAATCGAGTTTAAAAATAAAATGGTAATAGGCTGCAATAGCAAAAAAGTCATCATCAAAAAATGATATTTAAATATATGCATTTAAAAACATAAAATGTCTCTCTATTAAAACGAAAAGAACAATGTCATCACTTCTCATCATTTATCGGCGCCACTAACGTTCAAACTAACTCTTTTTTTCTTTTACATTAATACTTTGTTATTAACTTCAGACAACAACGAAATGTACATTATACGTCATGTAATAGGTTTTTGTAATGCGATATAATACGAGAATTTTTACAATATTATAATAATATTATCACACGACCTTAACGTATTGAAATTAATTAAATATTTGATTTAATTTTAGACCGTACGAATTATTCGGAATACTAATTTATAATACCTACGTATAATAACGATGATGAGCATTAATTTATTGGATACAGAAACCTCAATAAAGCCTTAGCCTATAATATCAACTATTGTAGTACATAAATGATGTATCGAATATCACACTACTGATCTAATGTAATGTATTATCGTTTAACGATTGGTTTTGTGGCCATTCGTTACACTTTTATGAAAAGTTTTTCGATGCTATACAGCAGCAGTCGGTGTTCAAACATCGTTAATATTGTATTAATTTATGTAATGCAATGGACGGATGATGGGTTAATTCGGTGGGGCGCGATGCGTTCTCGCGTGTTGTACTCCCCGTAGGTCGGCGGGCGTTGGATTTTTCCACGACAAACAAACGGTGGAAAAACCAAGCAGAAAAAAAAAATCACGGTCATTCGATCGAAAATCTAAACGGATCAGCTTTCAAAGGATTTCATCGGCACTGCGGTGGGACGACTGCCATAGAGAAAAGAGTAGGCGAAATCTAACGGGAAAATAGACGACGGTAACCACATGTGGCGGCGATAGCAGGGCTCCGCCAGATACCGCTGGGAGTAACACATTATAATATTACGCACACTATTAATATATTAATATTGTTATTATCGCGTGCGCAATAACGAGCGTTGAGGGTTGCGCCGCCGTCGACGGGATTTTGGCGATTAAATTTTTTTTTTCGCGCGTCTTACGATTCGATATTACTTTTTTACCATTGTATTTCGCTGGTACAGTTCCAAAATTCCACACGCATCGGTTTCAGCGTTTATTAATAGTCACGTCTCATAATAATACCTATATCGGAAGATCGCAGACGTCCGTCATCGCGGATACAAAAATAACGACTCGTGCGGCGGTCCTTCGTCGTGATAGCGGTTTTTTTTTTTGCACGTATATTAGTTTAGTTAGGTCAGTCGAAAATAACACAATTACGATTTACGATGTACCGTGTAACGTACCGGACAGGTTCGAATGGACCAGTGATTAGTGATCGAAGTCGAATTTCGAAGATTCGCACCCGAAGTTCCCCTTCATAAAATAAAAAACACAAATAAAAACATATATGAAAAGGGAAAATATTGTTAAACAAAAAAAAAAATAATAATTCGACTGCGATCTCGTCTCGTGAGTCTTATTATTATTATTATTATTATTATTATTAACTGCGTACACGTGTGCCGCGCCGTTACAATAATATAATAATAATAATAATAATGCAGTTTCGAACTTTGCCAACGCGTATATACACATTTATGTCCAATATGGGTACACCGTACGTGTATTAGAGTTAGGCATACGTTCGGTGAAAAGAAAATACAAAATCATCTAAATACGATTTCTACTTTAGCGCGTACACGATGACAGACGACGCGCGTTTTACGTATATATATATATATAAACAAGGTGTTTCACTAAGTATACAGTCCCTGTTAAAATAGTTTTTTTTGAAGATAGTATTATTATTTATTGTGTATGTGTGTTTTTTTAACCCGCAGACGAAATAAAAAAAATGGTTTTTCGTTTACACGTTTGATTTTAATAGGATATGACGATGTAGCCAATATAAAAAAATTATTACTTTGTAAAACTAGCTCATTTATGTGAAAAATGTTAAAAATTCAGCGTAAAATTTTCACCAATTTCCATCGGGCACTCGTCGTATTAGTTAAGCCAATCATTATAAACTTTAGACGGTCTATAAAGCCAACCGTACACAATATAATATACTCGTATAGAAGAATATTGTATTTATTATGCGATGTCACTTATAATAACGCAGGCGTCTAATATAGTCGGGAGGGCGCGTGCACTGTAGCGTATACGCCGACGACAACAAACAACGTAAGACATTCCGTGTATGATAACACGTAATATATATATATATATCATACATACAAACACACACTGTTTTGCAGGCGCAGTTAGTAGCATACACAAGTTTACGAGCTTTTTTACTTTTTATTATTTATTTTTTAACATATTGTAAAGATGATGACGGGGAAGCAAAAAAAAGAATATTGTTCGCTCACTCGCCCCTTGTACTCGCGTCCCACTGCAGTTAACGTAACCCCTCGAACCATATACATAATATATGTATATTGTATATGTATACGTACGTATATGAGTGCACCTACGTGTAAATATTGTCACGCGCGCGTCGGCCAAGTCTTAACCGTCGTCGGTCGGTATATGTATGTGCGCACTATGTCTATAATAATAATAATAATAATAATAATAATATGTATACGTGATACCGCGTGTGCTGTGCACTGTACACATACACACGGTGTAGGGGTAAGACGTCAGTACGACCCTCGACCGTTTAGTCGAGCTACAAATCTAATTTCCACCTCATATTGAAGACGATATATATACATACGTATACTTGTGAGTATATAGGTGTGTAACGTGTAAGTCGATACTTCAAACGAGGGTTTTATTGCACGCGTGTAAAACCGTTTCGGAATCACACAAACGCGTACGCACTGTCGAGTATAATAATGACGACGGTTCTGTTAGCGCTGCGGGGGGGGGGGGGGGGGAGAAGAAAATCTGTTTGGAGAAAAACGAATAACGAAATAGTATATAATATATACTGCCATTTGAATAATAAATTAAAGTAACACATATATATATGTGTGTGTATGTACGTTTCCGAATCGGACGTGTTTAATGTCGTAAACGATATAAAACTAGATTTTGTTTTAATTTACGTCTTACAATACGCACGAAAAACAATACACGAATTGGACTCGACTTTTTTTTTTTTGTGGAGGAAGGTGCTACGTAATAATATTATGATATCATAATGTAATAATTAATACAGCGCTTTATCAAATTTAATTTAATATGACGGATGACCATGACCACAATCACGAGTGATCTCCATCTACTGAGTGTACAACTAAAAATAACATGATATTATAATGTGTGTACAATCCGAATGAACGCGTTTTTCACAATGGTAAAAATTTCCTTTGAAAAAAAGAAAAATATGTACGTTTTATCAGTCATTTATAAATTTGTATGAATAAATAATATTATCTAAATACTAATTACAGTTAATATTGTCGTTATTCTATTCTGACCGAGATAAATATTTAGGATTTCGCTTGCGAAATTATTATATTCGATATTATACATATATATATATATAT